TTAGTGGTGATAATTTTAGAATTATCCCACCCAATTGTATGGTTAGTTAGGCAATTGTATGGTTAGTTAGGCATGATAAAGCTGAATTTTCCTTTTTGCAAAGGAAAACCGCTTTTTGGTGCTCTTGTAACCGTGTGCCAAACTGACGTTTGGTCTGTTTGATGTATTCATTGTCACAGTCATTGCACTGAATAGAATAAATGGCGTCGGTTCGTTGTTCTTTCGTGACAGGATCCTTAGGTTTGGCGAAAATATGCCCCAAAGTCTGAAAAGTTTTTTGAGCAACTTGAACGTTGTGGCTATTCAAAATTCTCTTGATGGATTCTGTAACACCCTGTATGTAAGGAATAACAGCAAAAGCAGTCGCTGGTTCACTTTCATCAAGAGCGTTACTATTTGTAACTGGTTTTTGGCAGTTAAGTAGAAAAGTTTTTGTATAGCCATTTGCCTTTAGGACATTGGAAACATATTTCCTCTCCTCAGCCTTCGAATCGAGTGAAGATGGTAGACAGTCAGCCCTCCTCAGTGCTGTAGGCGGATGAAGCCGGTTCATCCTTCCCATTAACCATTTATTTTTATCAATCGTAGTGATAGTGGACGTTTTTTTTTTCGGCAATTAAAATGTTGCAAAGCCTTAAAACTTCAGCTTTCTAATGTCTTGATGATTTATAGATGATTGTACTTTCTTTTAGAAGATTACGTAATAAATACATAGCTTTCAAACAAGTATAGTTGTCATGTTTGGATTATGACTTAATTTCGGACTGACACGAAAAAATATATCTTCGAAAGTGTGTTACTCTTAATTTCGTCTTTATTTTCTTCCTCCATCAGTGTTGGCTATACAAAAAGCCTACCACAAAAATGCTAGTGACTTTTATCTTGGGAAACAAGAACTGCAGGCGAGCCTGAAAGTTTCCTCTAAAATCTTTACTAACAACGGTTTGTATTTAAATCTTTCATGTGATACGACAAACCACAATTTTTTATTCCTCTCCAGTTTTTGTAGTTTTGAAATACATCTACAATTACATACAAGTTTGTTTGTTGGTTAACATGATCTGTTTGATTCAGACATCCGAAATGGCGACTTGGATTTTATATTGTCAAGCTGTAGTTTTATTTTATCTTTTACTTTTTTAGTATCAGTAGTTGTCGGGATCGTGTACAAGGATCTCCATGAAGTATTGTTTACAGATCAACCCTTCAGAACTGTAACGGGCACCACAAGGTGAGATCACCCCCTAGAGTTGCTTAACCAAATGTCCCTTCCATCGAAAATACACATAAAAAGAAACTCCAGGTGTTGAACTTATAAGGTCGTAGATTTTTCAAAACCCTGTTGAGAAGTAATTAGTCATATGAATCAATGATCTTTTCCGTGTTCGATAAATTAGCCTTTAAGTAACACTGGTTTGTATAGGCTCCTTGCTTGGTATTGTCACTGAAATAATTACTATACTTTAAATAAATCTGTTTCATACTGATTTTCTATCTCCTCAGAGGGTATTTGGACTCCTGGATAACTGCCGTGGCTTTACATCCAAAACCAGAAAAATTACAAGAGAATGTCATCTTAAGGTTCAGAAATCTGAAGGTAAGAACACGATCAAAATCAGTATCAATTGTTTTACGTTGTGATATTTATTCAGAGTATATCATCTTAATGTTTATATTCCGAACGCAGATTCGTGAAGGAGAGAAGAAATGCATGTTTTGGAGTGACTTAAGTGAAAGGTAACAGCTGGAATGTATTTTTCATCCTGTTCCAGGACTCCTGGGTAGTTGATTCTTAATTCTCAAATTATGAATAAAAATGTAATGAATATTACATTTAAATGGCTGTTTTCCTAGGTTTACTATTAGCTGTCAATAATTTCTCACTCGACTTTGATGAGACATTGAAACTTTCCCCACGTTCTAAAAAGACTTTTCAAGATTAATCTGTTTGTTTTTTAAATGAAAGCATTGATTTGTTGAATGTTATTTTTTTCTTAGGAGGTTTTGTAACTGCTGTTTTTCCTTTTTCTTTTTTCATAGCTATATCTAGATATCCATTGCTTTTAGATTATTTCCATTTATTTTAATTATAGGTTCGTTCATTTGTTTGCCTGCATTGTCGTGTTTGTTTGTTTCTGTTTTTCTTGCCTTGCTTGTTTCCTTGTTTGCTTTTTCACCTAAGTTAGGGTGTATTGAAGTTTGACGAGTCAAATTAAGAATTGTACCAAGCCCGAATATCAATATCATCAGCATACAACTTGCCTCAGATTAACAGTGCTGACAGTGATCACTCAAAGGAAAATCCATCTTTGAAAGGGAGAAGATGTCGACAAAAGCCAAATTCGAAAGTACTCAACGATGCGTAGAGGTTATGAACTCGGTGAAAGTAAGACAGAAATTAAACCTATCGGTACCCCAATGAGTTTCTTTTTAAATTTTTCTTTTGATGATGATGATGATTATTATTTATTCTTTTATTCTTTTCAGTTCAGGCGGATTTTCAAAGACTGGATGTTACTTAGTTACTTCGAAAAGTAACTCAGAAGAAACAGTTTGCAGCTGCAATCATTTGACTCATTTTGCTGTCTTACTTGACTACAACGGTAGCCCAGGGGTAATGAGTTTATTCTCTCTTACCTTTAGCATTGGTAATAGAATTTCGTTGGATTAAGTAAAAAAATTGCTGTCTCCTCATCTCTCTTTACAGCTCACAGAGGAAGACGAAACTATTTTGGAAATTATCACCTACGTGGGACTGAGTCTTTCCATCTTCGCGATTCTTTTGACAATTATTCTATATTCCTACCTCACGTAAGTACTGTAACCATACGCTCAAAGAACTAGGTCTTTGCATGAACTTAAAGGCTTTAGGGCTTAGAACAGACAAGTTCTTTAAAAAAAATCGATTTAATTAAAATGTGTATTGAACAAATAACAGTAATAACAAATAAAGATGATCAAAATGTAATAGAGATTTATAAAATTTATGCGCGAAAGCGGGTAAGATGTCTAAACTAGAACAATACAAAATTAGTGGAATACCTTGTCAGATATTGCTTCGTTTTGTTTTTGTTTCTGTCTCGCCTTTGGTTTTTTTTTCTGTTTGTTTGTTAGTTTTTTTTATTGCTCACTTGTTTCACTAGAGACGTATGGCAACCTTTGACTCAAATACGACCGAGTCTTTCTGTGTCCCTTGGAGCTGGACAAATAATCTTTCTCACCGGCATAAACGCCACGGAAAATACGGTGAGTGTTGTATTTATCTATTCATGGTTTTTTCTGCTTTTTAGGGGCTTAAAAGATTCTCTAGAAAATAATATGAAAAAGCCACAAAAGCTTTTTTTTTCTCTCGCAGGCTCTCTGCGTCC